CTTAATTTTTGCCTAAAGTTCGGAAAAAGCTTAATATTTTTTTATTAGATTTGTGTTTTTCTCAAAGAGTCAAGAATTAAACATTATGTATATAATTCCTTGACCATAATATCTTGAAGATCCAGCAGAGAGTCTTGCTGTTTGGAAGAGTTCTGAATCTAAAGTGTTTGTGAATTGGCGTTATTTTGAAAACTTTCAAACTTGTTGGATCCTTTGCATGGAACCATTTTCACACTAATTTAAGTTAAAATTCATAGAATTATTAACAATTGTCGATTTAAAGACCACATAATCATTATTTTGAAAACTTTCAAACTTGTTGGTGTCAAGAGCATGCCCAATTCCCAAATACTCCAACACATATAAAGTTTTCAATTCAAACGTCACTGTTTTGTACGTATTATTTTACTGAATGAACAACAATATATCCATAATTCCTATTCAATGTGCACAAATAATATATACTACCAAATACCCAAAAAAGAAAAAAAACGTAAGAACAACAATGAGTTTCACCCAATCATGCAGTAAAGTTTTTTCTTGTAGATTAATATCTACTACCAAATACCCAAAATACCCTTTCAAAATTTTTGTATAACTTGCATTTTATTCTTCCAGATTTCCATTATTATCAGCTACTATCAAGTTCAAATCTTCATAAAGAATAATGAATTAACAGATATATGTATATGTGTATACATATATACACATACATATACATATATACATATAACGAATAATAAGAAATTTTACTTTTACTTTTAACTTGAAAAGAAGTTACCCGTGGATCATCTCCTGCAGTTGGACCAGTACTCAGCAACAAGCTTTGAGAAATAAGAATCCGACTCCATTAGCTTGGAGGGCGCATCATATTCCATCATTTCACCTATTATACATGAAATTTTACTATTTTGTAGAGGGTAATTGTGTCATTTTATGAGATATATGGGTTTCTGAAGAATAAGATACATACCAGAGGAGAGGACCATGACTATGTCACCGTCTATAACAGTTGGAATCATATGAGCAACTGTTACAATAATGCAAATTGAGAATTCCTGCCTTATAATCCTTTGTACAGTGGCATCTGTGTCTGAATCAATTGATGGAGTTGCTTCATCAAGAATTAAGATCTTGTTTCTCCTAAGCAACACTCTTCCTAAACAGAAAAGCTGTCATTGACCCATACTCCAATTTTCTCCTTTATCACTCACTGTTTTTACCAAAAAAAACATTGGAATTGAATTTTAAATTCCATTCCATAAATGGACAGAATTCAATTCTACAGTGTTCTTACCAGATGAATCTAAACAGTTTGGGAGACTACTAATGGTACTCTTAAGCTGGCATTTCTCCAATGCCTGAAAGAATCATTCAAATTAATAATAAAAAATAATAATAAGAATTTTCATTTTTATTTATATTTTTATTACCTGTGACATCCCCAAATTTCTCGGCCAGAAAAGACCGATTTAATTTATGCTTTTTAAAATAAAGTCAGAGAAATCCTTTTAAAAGATGTTGCAGAATTGGTCCCCAAAACAAAACATGATAAAAGTTTGTCAAAACCTTTCTTTAAGAAATATATAATTTAATTTCATATCAAAACCTCGGGATGTCATGTTACGATACAGATCAAAAGCATAAACAAGACATTATAAGCCTTACAATAGTTATTTACAACTACTGGCCTATAATCCAAAAATCTCTCATCATCCTCCGACTATGCTCGGGGTCCACTACCTGTAATAATAAAAAGCTGAGTGTATCAGGTTTGGGAGCCTGGTGAGCATATAGGGTTTTCAACCCACAATAATAATAAACTTATTAAGTTCACC